ACTGCAATTAAATGAATCATGCTGTCATTAAGCGAATCTGGCTTGACTTTGCTTGACGGAATTTGGCTGGGAAGTTACACATGGGGATCATGGGACCCCAGGATAGTGCAACCGTCATAAGTACATGTCAGTTGCCAAATGCCCAAATTTTGATTATGCGACCATGGGGATGCTGCCGTGGTTGTGTGAGAACCGGTCATAAGTCCCTTTTTTCAGTGCCGTGGTAACTTTGAATGGTCACTAAACAAATGGTTGTAACTTGAGGACTACCTGTATGTGGAGTTGAGTTTGAAGTCCATGTATCTTCAAGGCGGCAAGACTGAGAAAGATTCCCTTTAGAAAAGATCAGCATTTTTTCTTGAGCGCCTATGAAATTCAGAACCTAATTTAAAACACCCTTTGAAAGTGGCCGCATCTGCCGCATCTGCCAAACGAGGCTGTATTTGCCGAAACCCGAAGTGGAAGAGGCTGATCTCGCTCTTCTTGATTTACACTGTCCAGCAACAATCCCCAGTAGACTGTTCCCAAGAAGTGTGGCCTTCAAAACTAATCCCCCACAAAGTAGACTTTTTTTGATGTCTGCTTGCACCACGCTATATAGCAACGTTTATAAATTGGTATTTTCATTCAGCACTTTTTCAAAATGGCTTCTCTTCCGTCAAATTTGGCTAACTTTTATCAAACACCAAGTTGTTGCTAAAGCTGCTGACTGGGAAGATTTAAAAAAAAGATCATTCAGACTCCTCCCTGGAGCAATCAGTATCTAACTGGAACTTTTAGTCCAGGGGTATTCAACCTTGGCCACTTTAAGACTTGTGGACTTCAACTCCCAGATTTCCGCAGCTGATTGGGGAATTCTGGGAGTTGAAGTGTCCACAAGTCTTAAAATGAATAAAAGCAAATATATACGTCCCAGGATAAATGTCGCAGGATCCAATCTGAGTCGATCACTGGGTCCTTTGGTGACTGACTCAGATTATATTCTACAGGTCTTAAAGTGGCCACGGTTGGACACGCTTGCTTTAGTCAAAGGCAGCATTCAAGTGAATCACAGCAAGTGGGTCTGAGTCTGAGCCATTGGTAATTAAAAATCACATATTTTAATTAGAGGTAATCTACAGAGGGAAAGCATATCTAATTGTTTTGGATTGGGCTAAATGTGTGGTACTCACCTAACAAATAGGCCGTGGGAAGAGACCGACACCCCGTTACTAATAATATATGTGGGTTTCCTCTCTCTGTTCATAGGTATAAGAGATACTCTATCAAAAAACTGGCTCAAATTGATGGCTTTGAAGGATATGGAAAAGGATGCAGCTCTCTTAGAACTACTTGAGCCTAGTTGTTGAACTGTTGAGTTGCTGTTTCTTTTGTGTAACACAAATGTGACCCACAAAATAAAATGAAGAGATCTGTCCAAACTGCTGTCCTGATGATTAATCCCGCTATATTCACATGCACATTGAAGGTTATTTTCTTAATGTCCCTGTTCCCTAGCAGCGTGAGAAATGTCTGGATCCTTTCTGAAACAAAATGGATGAAAAAGAAAAATGATGGGTTCCCTCTTACTGGTCAGATTAAAGTTGATTGGGAGCCATCCAGCATTTGATACAATATTGACTGCTATATGAATATTTTAAATAAATAAATAATACCCAGTTAGGGAATTATAATTTAATGCAGAGATAAACCATCCTTTTCAATTGGGGGGTGGGGGGGGCGTGTCGCCTTGGAATGTTGAGAGCTTTCCAAAATGGCTTCCATGGTGAGAGCTTTCCAAAATGGCTTCCATGGTGGATGTGACCAATTGCAAAGCATCCGTTTACCAGAAAGGCAAGTTGCTGAAGTTGTTTAACTTTGTCACACACTTTTCAAACAGGAAGGTACAGGTGGTCTTCCACTTACAACAGTTCATTTAGTTACAACGGCACACGGAAAAAAGTGACATTTTTCACACTTACAACCAGTGCAGCATCCCCAAGGTTACGTGATCAAAATTCAGATGCTTGGCAACTGATTCATATTTATGACATTTCCAGTGTCCCAGTGTCATGTCATCACCTTTTGTGATGTTCTGACAAGCAAAGTCATTGGGGAAGCCAGATTCACTTAACAACCACGTTACTAACTTAATAGCTGCAGTGAATCACTTAACAACTGTAGGCAAGAAAATTCGTAAAATGGGGCAAAATATATTTAACATCTGTCTCATTTAACAAACAGAAATTTTGAGCTCAATTGTAGTCGTAAGTTGAGGACTACCTGTATACTTGACTTGTAGCCACTGTCATTTTCTATGAATGCCTACAGAGTTATAGCAATAGCACTTAGACCTTGCTCAATAGTAGTAACTGTGAGAGGGATCTCGGAGTCCTAGCGGACAATCACTTAAATAGGAGCCAGCAGTGTGCTGCAGCTGCCAAAAAAGCCAACACAGTGCTAGGTTGCATTAACAGAGGGATAGAATCAAGATCACGAGAAGTGTTAATACCACTTTACAAGGCCTTGGTAAGGCCACACTTGGAATACTGCATCCAGTTTTGGTCACCACGACTCTAGAAAGCATACAGAGAAGAGCAACAAAGGTGATTAGGGGACTGGAGGCTAAAACATATAAGGAACGGTTGCTGGAATTGGGTATGTCTAGTTTAACTAAGAGAAGGACGAGGGGGGACACGATAGCAGTATTCCAATATCTCAGGGGTTGCCACAAAGAAGAAGGAGTCAAGCTGTTCTCCAAAGCGCCTGAAGGCAGGACAAGAAGCAACGGATGGAAACTAATCAAGGAGAGAAGCAATCTAGAACTAAGGAGAAACTTCCTGACAGTTAGAACAATTAACCAATGGAACAACCTGCCTCCAGAAGCGGTGAATGCTCCAACACTGGACGTTTTTAAGAAGAGACTGGACAGCCATTTGTCCGAAATGGTGTAGGGTTTCCTGCCTGAGCAGGGGGTTGGACTAGATGACCTCCAAGATCCCTTCCAACTTTATTATTATTATTATTACTTATATACTGCCCCATAATGCTTTGTAGCACTCTCTGGATGGTTTACATTACAACGTTAGCCTATCGCCCCCAACAATCTGGGTTCTCATTTTACAGACCTTGAAAGGATGGAAGGCTGAGTCAACCTGGAGCCAGTGGTGGGATTCAGCCGGTTTGCACCACTTTGGCAGAACTGGTAGCTACTTTTTTGTTACCCAGGCCCTGAATGGACTTCTGGAATCAGCATCCACACAGAGAACCGGTTGTTCACATATTTGAATGCCACCACTTCCTGGAGCCCTGTCAGGATTGAAGTCCGACAATGATGCCTATTCGCAATCTTACCAACTGCACTAAAATGAACCATGATTAAAACTCCTTTAAAATCTGGAGTTCAATCCACTATCCGTTGTTCAGGGCCAAGCGGAAAGAGGCTTGAATACCCTCACACATTCTACATTCACCATTAAGAATCAGGCACAATTCAAAAGATGTTCAAATTCTGTAAGTTTTGAAATTTTATTCGATCATCTGGACACAAAAAATTCTTACAGCAGCTTTGTGGTATGTGTTTTGTGGGGGAATGTTGATAGTAAATAACTTGGTTTTTTTTTTAAACATAACATATTGTACAATTTTCAGAAGATTTTTTAGAATCACTGTAAGAGAACAGATTCTACATGCTAAAGTGACAAGTTTTCATCCAGGAATATATATATATATATATAGATATATATATAGATATATATATTTAAAATCCACTAACTTCAAGGAGCATTTGCCCTTTTAAGACATTTCTGAATATGCGCAGATTTCCCAACTATCAACAAAATCTGCACTAATCCACAAAAAGTCAACAAATAACACTCCCCCGCCTCGCTCCTTGCAATATACTGCTTCACCAACCTCTGCTGCAATATTGAGAGAATGCTAAATTATTCTCCGTAAATCTTGCAGCTCGGCTCCCGACAGACATAATTACTGTACTGATATTTAAAAAAAAGACCCCTGACCACACAGAAGAATATTGAGGCACCAAATGTCTTGAAACAGAGGACATAAAGCACGCCAGAGACCAAAGGGTTCTGTTTGTTCCATCCTGCTCCCCCCTCCCCGTCCCCCCACCCCCAAGTTCAGGATTTTAAATATCAGTGTTTGGAATATCCGATAGTGAAGTTTCATTGTGGGAGAATTTAAAAAAAAAAATGAGTTAAGGGCTGCCATGGTGCAATTTCTCATTAACTTTTTAACAACAATCAAGGTATGCCACCCTATTTGTAACTGATCATCACTAATATCTTCCAATCTTGGAGAAGAGAAAAAGAAAAATTTGCCAAAAAGAAAAGAAAAGAAAAAAATAAGAGAAACCACTGGCTGCAATGATGAAGTGAGGACACTTTCAAAAACAAACTGTCATTAGGTTGGGCCATCTGCTTAAGTATAGGCTTTGTAAAAGCTGGGCATGGCAGATTGGCTCTACTGTAGTAGGATTGTTAAAAAATAACATAGAAGAAAGAAAGAATCACAGTACCCCCAAATCCACACAGACACAATGACTTTGGACTTCTAATTAGGCTACTTTTTGTAATTCCAGGAATGAGATATTGCGTTGGACTTTAAATGTTCCTGTGAGAACCCACCCCGATGGGAGAGGATCAACCAATCCCAGCCTGGGGCAGCAGGAATGTTCTGGAACAGCCATAGGGAAAGGAGGGAAGACACATCCCAATTGGTTGCAGAGGAGAGACATTTTGATCTTTCTCTCCTTTTAGCGCGGGCAGTTTAAAAGTGATCAATGGAATTGACCTGCTCTCTCACACCAGGCATGCGCAAGCACACCCAGGGATGCTGATGGGTTTCCAATATGGATTCTGCATCTCCTCTACCCCGTTTTCTCCTTGGCCAGGATGTCAATCCAGTCAGGGATCTCTTTGCTACGGTCGGACCGTTAAAAACAGGAGAGGAGAGAGGAGAGCCCAGTTCTCAGATGTGTAAACCGCAACAAAATTAAAACAAAAATAGAACGAATACAACAACCCAGGAGGGAGAGGAAATGGAAAACACATGCCCTGGGAGATCAAACATGCGCACAGAGGGAGAGAAATCGAATGCTCCACATGGTTTCAGTCCGTGGGCCTCGGGATGCTGCCCGTCTGGAGGGACAGAAGGACGAGGGACTGTGCCCGATTCCGAGAGCACTCAGCATTTTGACAGGGTTTCTTTGAATTCTGACAACAGATTTCCCAATAAGGTCGAATCGTCGCATTTTCCATCAATGGACACAGAGTTTTCTCCCTGCCAAAGGATTCATTGAAAAGGTGGGAAGGGGGGCGGGGGGGGGGGAAGAGAAAAAATATTTTTTTAGGGTTAGATAACATGATTCTTGGCTCTTCCCTATCCAGGCTCTCTGTTTGTTTGTATCCCTTTATTACATCCAATGCAACTTCTTCCTCCTACTGCAGTGATGGCAAACCTTTTAGAGACCGAGTGCCCAAACTGCAACCCAAAACCCACTTATGCATCTTCGGTGCTGGGTGGGTGTGGCCCATTGGCTGGGTGTGGCCAATTGGCTGAGTGTGTCCCATTGGGTGGGCGTGGCTGCGGTGGTAACGGCAGACTGGGTGGGATTAAAAAGTTCAATCAATCAATTCCAACTTTGCAAGATCTTTTTTCCCGTGAGAAGTTGAAATTGACTGATTGAGTGAACCTTTTTTCACACTGCGGCAGAGGCCTAAAGCAAAAAGGTTTTATAAAACCCAGCTGAAGGCCTAGGACTGGGGCGATGGCGCACGTGCCCACAGAGAGGGCTCTGAGTGCTGCCTCTGGCACCCGTGCCATAGATTCGCCACCACTGTCCTACTGTATTTTTCCCACAACAAGAAACCCCTGGCTCAAAGTTACCAGCCAGCTTTCATGGCTAAGGAGGGACTAGAACTCACTGTCTCCTGGCAATTAGCCCAAAGTCATTCAGCTGACTTTCATGCCTAAGATGGGGACTAAAACTAGTTTCCCCATTTCTAGTCTGGTGCCTTAACCACTAGATCAGTGTTTCTCAACCTTGACAATTTTAAGGCATGTGGACTTCAACTCCCAGAATTCCACAGCCAGCATTGCTGGCTGTGGAATTCTGGGAGTTGAAGTCCACATGCCTTAAAATTGTCAAGGTTGAGAAACACTGCACTAGATCAAATTGTTTCTCATAATCATCTTTCCTCTCATCTGCCTGGAAACTAATTCATGTTTGTTCTTTTCTCCTATTCCTACAAGGAGGTGTCAAAATTCATCTGCCTGTTAGGAATTCTAGAAGCAACTTCATTTCTCCCCTGCGGAAGGGCGGGCAATCCACATTATGGATTTAGCAGGGAGTCAGATTGAGAGAGGTGTTGAACAAACAAGATTAACGTACTCTCTTTAAAAAGCAAATCCAAGTTGGAAGTTGACAAAATATACAACACTACTAATGCCACTACCTATCAACTGATGGCCATCTTTGCTTTCCGTAAATTGCGTGTTTAAAGAAGTAGATGCATACAAGTCAGGGGGCCTCAACCCCGGGTCCGTGAACCGGCACCGGTCCGCGGCATGCCAGCAACCGATCTGCACAAACAAGCAAAGCCCCATCCATGGGATGCAGGCAGGACATAAAACCACGCACTCTCCGGTCCGTGGAAAAACCTTTCTCTGTGGAACCGGTCCCTGGTGCCCAAAAGGCTGGGGACCCCTGATGTAAGTATTATTGCAAATACTGAATAATTACAAGAGCAACACCTATTGCGGTGATGGCGAACCTTTTAGAGACCGAGTGCCCAAACTGCAACCCAAAACCCACTTATGCATCGTCGAGTGCCGGGTAGGTGTGGCCCATTGGCTGGGCGTGGCTACGGTGGTAACAGCAGACTGGGTGGGACTAAAAAGTTCAATCAATCAATTCCAACTTTGCAAGATCTTTTTTTTTCCCCCGCAAGAAGTTGAAATTGACTGATTGATTGAACCTTTTTTTTTTTTTGCACATGGCGGCGGAGGCCTAAAGCGAAAAGGTTTTATAAAACCCAGTTGAAGGCCTAGGACTGGGGCGACGGCGCACGTGCCCACAGAGAGGGCTCTGAGTGCCGCCTCTGGCACCCGTGCCATAGGTTCGCCACCACTGACCTATTGTGTTGACTCCAAAAAAATTAAACAATTTCTTTTGCATTAACTGTTGGAACTGATTTGTTATTTAATACTGAAATTCTAACTAAGGATATTATTAGGAGTGCAGGTAGACCTCACTTAATGACCATTTGTTTAGGGCCCATTCAAAGTGATGATGGTGCTGGAAAAAAATGGATTTACATCCAGTCTTTGAAGTTGTGATCATGACACAGGTGCTTAACGACCCTCGGCACCTTTATGATGGTTGCAGCTTCCTGTGGTCATGTGATGTAATGAATGGCCTTAGGGAAAAAGGAGAAGAGACGCTGCCCAGGAAACAATCAGCCAAGAGAAGCAGGAGCCCCCAGTGGCCTAATGGTCAAAAAAGGAATCTTAGTAAGGACTGGTCCTAATTGTTCAAATGGGGGGGGGGGAGTTTGTACTTTCAGACTTGCAAGATTCTGATAATGTAGCCTCACCATAAAGTACAATTTGTTTGTCTAACCACGTATCCTGTTTGGTTTACCTGGGAGAGCGGATCGCATTTTGCGACCCTCACAGCCGTCTTCCGACAAGCAGAGTCCATGGGAAAGCCGGCAAAAAGGTTGCAAGTCAGTCAAGGGATGTCTTGCTTAAATCCCCATGTGTGGGATTCGCTGAACAAACGCAACCGGAAGTGCCCAAACTTCCATTGTTAAGTTGGTGTGGTCGTGTGATTTTTCTGCTTTCCGATCACATTGCTTAGTGAGAGGGTTGCCATTTTGAATTAGAGTCATTAAGCGAGGACTACTTAGATATTTTACTTTGACTGAGGAAGTAAAAAACGTCTAGAGGTGAGAAAAGTCACCACCTACTACTGAGTGCCTGTGTTAAAATATCTGGTTTCTGCAATGCGTCATATGCACAGTGGGACAGTGTCCTAGGATGCTTCAGCATTTGTAGCTGACTGATTGTACATATGCTAATGCAGGAGTAGGCAACCTTGTCTCTTTTATGACTTGTGGACTTCAACTCCCAGAATCATAAAAGAGCCAACGTTGCCTATCCCTGTGCTAATGCTACCATGTATCGGTTGTACTATTTAGTGCAGTATTTCTCAACCTTGACAATTTTAAGGCATGTGAACTTCAACTCCCAGAATTCCACAGCCAGCATTTCTGGCTGTGGAATTCTGGGAGTTGAAGTCCACATGCCTTAAAATTGTCAAGGTTGAGAAACACTGATTTAGTGCTTAGTGCTTTGTTTTTGGATTCACCTTTTTCACGAGTAGGCAGACATGATGGCCCTGGATAGAACGGCTATACATGGATGCACAGGCCCCCATACGTTCAACAACTGAAAGAAAAAAAGAAGTGGTTAAAGGGTTTTCATCCCTCCCCCAAATAAGGCTTTTAGTTTTGTTTTGTTTTTAAAAAAGAGAGAGAATTGTACAGCTTTAAGGAGTGCATATCTGCACGAGCCACTGATCTAACTAGATCACTAGCCAGTCACTCAGGCAGAAAATGTAACGAATGATGGAAAGAGGGAAGAATCCCAAGTGCCAAAAATCACATTTATCTGACTATTTTTATTGATAGTTGGGATTTGTTCCACTCTTTTTAGTGTCTGCTTTCGTCTTCCATTGCTCAGAAAAGAAACAAGCCATTTTTTCCCCAGGGCACCTCATTCTCACATATCCCTGGATTCTGATGACATCACATTGGTGCAGATGCAGCAAAATTACTGAGCCCCAGCAAGTAACTGCATTGAGACAGCCAGCACAGAGAATCAGCTACAGTGAAGCATCTCCTGTAAGAAGAGATGCTTTGGGCTCACCTAATTACCAGTTTTCTCATGGGAAGTCATTTGAGAAGCACAAGCAATTACATTTCTCCTTCTAATAACGAGACAAAACTAGCACAGCAACTCACACAATGTTACAATAAGAAGCCTCCTGCAAGCTTGCATGGTTTTTATGCCCTTTTTAAAACCTCAAGATACCGCTCTAGGATTTATTTATTTACAAACTAGCAAGAACAATTTGATTTTACGTTTAGAATATGAGCAAGTAGTCTTTTTTTAGCAGGAACTCACCAGAGAAATGGTGGTGGAAGCAAATTTTTGCCAGGAGGTGATGGAAAGGGATGGTGATGCCATCAACTTTAATTGAGCTGGCATGCAGGTCCCCCAACTCCAACAGCTTGGCAAAAGCATCACTGTGGAAAATACAAAGAGGAAGAAGCTTAGATAGGCAGTAGAGGAAGTTGGAAATTGCAGAATGGCTAACTTCTACCTTGACTTGTCTGACATTGCCTTAGAGGGGATTTCAAAACTTCTTTCCTAGCTCAGTCCGTTTTTACTTTCTGTAATTCAAATAGAAGAAAAATATATGTAACTCGGGGTTGAACTGTGGAGTCCTTGGTGCTCTCTGGGTTGATTGTTCGCTTGCAAACATTGCCTGATTGGATGATGTTACCGAGTTGTGTACTGAAACATCTGCAAAGCAAACAACCAAGCCCAGAAAGCACCGAGGACTACACACTTTCTGCAATCTTTGGGGATGCTGCCTCTATTAGTCATCTCCTTAGTGTGTTCTTTAGAGAACATTAGAAAAAGCAGATCCAAGGAATAATATGAAAGGTGTTATCATTTGGTTGATAGCAAAATCCTCCAGACAGCTATCTCCATTTATTCATCTACAGCAGGGGTGTCAAACTGCCAGATGCATCATAGCAAAACCACGCCCACCCCGTTGCCGGCAATGGCAAAAAAAGTCACAATAAGTCGCAACACGTCACGTGACGTTGCGAGTTTGACACCCCTAATCTACAGGCTCACTGCTATAACACAAGATGTCTGAAATTGCTATAATATTTTATGCTTTACACCCAAATAATTTATTACTCAACAGTAACCATCTGATCTTTTTCTAATTACATTATATTCTGAATTCTGCAGCATATGCTAATTTGAATGCAAAAACCAATTATTTCCATTAATTTTCCCACTGAGGTGTTCTCATGGATACAACTAAGTATTGAGAGGGGGTCTCTAGGACAACTTGCTGCGGCCAACTTGCCTGGGTCATCTCACTGCGGCCAACTTGCCAGATTATAATTTGCTGTGGCCAACTTGCCGCGGGACAATCCACATAGGATAACTCAATGCGATAAATATTATCCACCACTGTGGATAATAACAAAGATGATCAGGGGACTGGAGGCTAAAACATATAAGGAAAGGCTGCTGGAATTGGGTATGTCTAGTTTAATGAAGAGAAGGACGAGGGGGGACATGATGGCAGTGTTCCAATATCTCAGGGGCTGCCACAAAGAAGAGGGAGTCAAGCTATTCTCCAAAGTGCCTGAAGGCAGGACAAGAAGCAACGGGTGGAAACTAACCAAGGAGAGAAGCAACCTAGAATTAAGGAGAAACTTCCTGACAGTTAGAACAATTAACCAGTGGAACAACCTGCCTCCAGAAGCGGTGAATGCTCCAACACTGGAAGTTTTTAAGAAGAGACTGGACAGCCATTTGTCCGAAATGGTACAGGGTTTCCTGCCTGAGCAGGGGGTTGGACTAGATGACCTCCAAGGTCCCTTCCAACTTTGCTATTATTATTATTACTGTTTCTTCTACATTGCTTCCATTTTTGTCAAGGGAAATAATGTCAAAGGAAACAGCGGCAGGTTAACATTTATTGCACTGAGTTATCCCGTGTGGAATTATCCCACAGTGAATTGGCCATGGTGAAACGGCAGCGGCGAGGCAGCAATGGCTGCAGCAAGATGGCACCGGCAAGCTGGCCATGGTGAGTTAGCTGCAGCGCGTTGGCCATGGTGAATTGTCCCATTCCAACTCAGGGAAACATCCTCTCTTCATACACTTTAACACTTCCAAGATTTCCTAAAAGGTTCTACCTTGCACACTTGGACATCTCCCAGCATGCATGCGTGCATGTTGCTGCTTTTTCTTCAAAACTTTCTGCAAAACCCACAATGTCTCTGAAAACACTGACACATTCTGCTACTTTCCATTAATGGCCAGGCATTCATTACTCTTCCCCTAAATGTACTAAATCTTTCTAGACTGCTGCAGTTGATGAGATTTTTTTAGCTTTTCCATTCTGAAATCCTGCACGAGAACGTAAGCCTTTGCAAGTTTTACAAATGTCAGCCTTTTTCTGTGCAATTACCCAAAGCTCAAAAGATGTGGACCCTTCTTAAAAGAAATGTGTTCATTTTAAGAATGCGTAGGGGTAATTTTGGGCTGTGACAAATACTCATAGGAATTATGCTATGGACCTCTGTAATTAAGTTTGTGTGTATGTAACTGAAGTAACACGATATTTTTCCTTTACTCAATGGTACATTCATTCATTCTTACATTCTCACTGAATTTTGGCTGGAAATTCATCAGGTTACACCAACAGCACTGCCAGAATAACAATGCTGACTTATAGGCAATAGCATCAGTAAATATTTATTTCAACAAGTGAAGAACAAATTGCTTTTCTTCAGGAAGTAACGTGACCTACCTGTAACAGGGTGTCGTAATTAGGTAAGAGGCACAACTGAAGCACAGCTTAAAGTCTAACTTTTCATGTGTTGAGCCTTCATCATCCTGCAGCATAATGACAAATGCAGATAAATCACAGGACCAAAACCAGCTGTCCAGCAAGTGGATGAGACTTAGTTTAAACATTCCTAAAAGAGCACCAGCCCAAACCGATCCTTGGAAGGGGAGGCAGTCAGAAGGTTTCACAGGCTTTAAAATACATCATTATCCCAGACAAGGCCAACTTGCCTCTTGATAAAACCCAGATATTTTATCTCCCTAATATAGGTAGTCCTCAACTTATGGCCACAACTGAGCCTAAAATTTCTGTTGCTAAGTGAGACATTTGGTAGGTGAGTTTTGCCCCATTTTACGACTTTTCTGAACACATTTGTTAAGCGAATCATTCCAGTTCTTAAGTTAGTAACATGGTTGTTAGGTGAATCTGGCTTCCCTATCGACCAGGTGTGTGGTATTTTTAGAGTTAACTTAGATGTCAGAAGATGTCAGAAGATCGCAAAAGGTGGTTACTGAATCCCAGGACACTGCAAACCGTCATAAATATGAGTCGGTTGCCAAGCATCTTGAGTTTTGATCACACGGCCATGGGGATGCTGTAACAGTGGTAAGTGTAAAAAACGGTCATAAGTCACGTTCTTCAGTGCCGTTGTAACTTCAAATGGCTACTAAATGAACTGTTGTAAATCGAGGACTACCTGTATGGCGAAATGTTTGGGTCTGGTTCTCTCCTCACACGCAGCAAGAAAGCCAATTCCATCCTCCATCCCTGCCTAGAACAGGGTTTTTCAAACTTGGCAACTTTTAAGATGTGGATATTAAAGCTTATCTCCGACATCCTTTGGGAACATCGTTCTACTCTTCTGGGAGAGTTGCTATAATAGGAGGAAGCCTCGACAAATAGCTGCAGGGAGCTCATTTCCTACTTCCTTGAGGGAAATGTCTCTCTCAATCTATCAGTTGCCCCAAAGTTCAAATACAAGTAGTCCTTGACTTACAACCATTCGTTTAGTGACTGTTCGAAGTTACAACGGTACTGAAAAAAGTGACTTATGACCATTTTTCACCCTTACGCCCATTGCAGCATCCCCATGGTCCACGTGATCAAAATTCGGATGCCTGGCAACTGGCATGCATTTGTGATTGGTTGCAGTGTCCTGGGGCCATGAGATCACCTTTTGCGACCTTCTGACAAGCAAAATCAATGGGGAAGCCAGATTGACTGAATAACTCTGTTACTAACTTAACAACTGCAGTGATTCAACAACTGTGGGCATAAAATGTCGTAAAATGGGGCAAAACTCATTTAACTGTCTTGCTTAGCAATGGAAATTTGGGCTCAATGGTGGCCATAGGTGGAGGCTTACCTGTACAGACAAGGACTCTGGTTTCTGTCATTGACTGGAGGAATAAAGCCTTCTGGAGTATCCCATCACTTTTATTCAAGGAATAAAAGCAGAAGATATCTAGGACAGGCCCAACTCTAGAAAAATGTACTGGTCAATAGGTCACCGAGTTTTGCATTAATTTCTTTAGATTTGTAAACTTCTGTTCAATGGATGTGAGCTATTTTTGAAGTTTATGTTTGTCTGAAAAGCATGTTTAAAAATATGTCGATTTGGCACAAAGCTGGTACAAAGAAGCCACAAGCTGATTATTACAACTCTTTTAGAAGGATCAGGCTAGGATGAAAAACAATTCACTCAAGCTAACTAGTGAGCGGTATCTCTTTGAGAAATAAAAAAAATGATGTTAATGTCTCTTTAATCCCTTTAATATTTTCCCAGCATTAACAAAGGATAATAGGCTCTTACTTTGACTATAAATGACAAGGTCCCTTTTAGTTTCTGTGCCATGGCGATACTCTGCAGGGTGAACACAAACTGGGCTTCATTTGAGACTCCTAAATTTGGAGAAAGACAGAAAAGTTTAAAATAGGGTAACAGGATTTACTTAGATTTATATAAACACCCCCCCCCGAAGTGAGAATTATGATTTTAAAATCTTATTTCTCACACAGATATCTTTAAAATATTTAACCATTTTCTCCACTAAAGAGTACAAAGCATTAGCAGTTTAACAATAAGCAGTATCAATCAATCAATCAACCAACATTATTTTAATATGTACTAAAGGCAGGACAGAGAATTGCTAGAGAAAACTACCACCACGGTGCAAATGTGTTTGTCATTGTTCACTTTAACTCAGATAATCATTCACCTTTAGAAAATACTCTATATTATGGAAACCAATTAAAAGCACTGTTCCCAGGATATGTCAATGGCGTCATACTCTGGTCCTCAGGAATACTCTTACAAAGATAGTGTGTCATGATCTGACATCCAACATCTTTTGGGGATTACTTGGGCTGAAAATAGACCCGCAATGGCAAGAAGCTATTCAATTCTGAATACACACCTTTGAAAATTAGTCCCATAAACTGAAACACAAACAAGGAGAGGCTATGTCGCTCTAGAAAATTAAGGTAAACTTCAAAGGTTTGGCTCAGATATAACTGTGATACACACTCATAGCGAGATAGGCCCTGTCCTCCAAGATTCTTTACAAAGGCATTGTCAATGCTGCTAACATTGGATGTTCTTGCTTTGACAAAATGTGCAGAGCTGTCCGGTATTTTTAGAGTTAACTTAGATGATGCTGGGAGGGGAGGAGAAAGAATGTGTGGGGGATTAATTAAGATAAGGAATAGGGCTACAGAAACAGAAGCGAACTGATTGGAGAATGTGATTTATGACTGCAAAATAGAGGAAGGAAATAGGCTGGAATATTATGTGTTCAGGGGAGGGGAATTCAGATCTTGGCATCCTCCATGCCCTGCGGACACTGTGCTTACATGATTAAAGGCTTTTTAGGATAAACAATGCCTGGAAGTTCTTTGAAGTGTTCCATTAGTCGGAACCATGACATCCATCTTTGGAAAGCTCACTCCCATCCCCTCTCACCAGGAAGCAGAAGCCATACCAGGAGGCAGCTGAAAAGGGACAGGTATCCCATCGTGGATGGAGGATCCTTCCGGCCGCAGCATTTTCGTATTCAGAGAGTCCAAAACATTCAGCTCCATGCTCTTCAGGAAACTGCTGCTCTTATTCTCAAAGATCACAGAAACGGTAACCTGGCTATCGTTCTGGAGGTTCCCTTGGATATCGTAGGTCTGCAAAAACAGAATCATTGGAAGGGAGAGGACACGAGAGAAACTAGGATCTCCTTGGTGTTGCTGAAAACCAGTATGGAAGACAAGAGCAAGTCGCAGTAGGTAGTTCAAAGAAATCAAGATAAACCATAAATTGGGAAAAAAAAACCCACATGAACTACTACTCACCATTTTAATGTATGGGTTTTCAGCAAGGAGGTCATAGCTTGACATAGGCTGGGAAAGAGGAAAAGAGGAAAAATCAAGGCAAGGAAAAAGGAAAGAAAAGAATGGTGTAACGGGAGCTACCTGTACAGCAGGGGTAGTCAACCTTGGCTCTTTTATGACTCGTGGACTTCAATTCCCAGAATTCCTGAGCCAGCGTGGCTGGCTCAGGAATTCTGGGAGTTGAAGTCCACGAGTCATAAAAGAGCCAAGGTTGACTACCCCTGCTATACAGCAAAGCAGTGGGACTGTGGCTTCAACTTAACAACCAGATAATGCTTGATTACAGTCCCAACAACCTCAACCAGGGGATGGGGAACTGGTATCCAACACGTCTGTAAAGTACCACATGCTGGGCAAAGCTGCTGCAGAGCCATGCCAGAGTCAGGTCTTCTGGAGTCTCAGTACCCCAGTTGTTGATTACCTCTCTGCACAAATTTCTCACCGGCAGTGGCTCTTCCTCCAGAGTTCCGTTCTGCACAGATTCCGTCTGCGGCTCATCCCCTCTGTCACGATGCTTTGGAAGCTTCTTCTCTTTGGATTTTTCCTCCTTCTTATGCTTCTTCTTTTTATGCTTGGATTTCTGTTAAGTCCACATAACCCAAAAGTCAGCTTCCTGGTCCCTCAGCTGCCTCTTGGCTCATCAGTAAAAGCTGTTTGCCTTGGAAAAGTCATGTATCTGACAGAAACGGCTGCTAAAATACATGCTAGCCAACCTAGCCTTCTGCCTGTTGATCAAAGACAGCTCAGAAATTATAGCAGATTCAAACCAGGCTGAAAATATTCCCAACTAAGATAAGATACAGGGTGCCATTATCAGAGAGACTAGCCGAGAAGCATCAGTTCCCAGGCAAAACACAGAAAAGTGGAATTCTCTAGGCAACTCACCTTTCCGTCGTCTTCTTCCTGAAGTTCCTCCTCTTTCTTAGGTTCTTCGGGTTCCGTTGGATCTACACTGACTTCAGGCAGGTTCTGCTAAAGAAACAAACTGGGATAATAAAAGCCAGCTTGGTTCAAGGGACCATATCTGGGAACATCACAGAAAATCTGTGGGTCAAGTCATCCAGGTATGATTCCCTGTTCATATTAGTCCAAAGTCCTAAACGTAGTCAGCCTAATTCTCTAAGCCAGGGCTTTTCAACCTTTTCACCCATTGTGCCACTTTTAGGATATGGCAATATCTGAGTACCACCAGTCGCCTAGCAAGGTGTCAAAAACTTGATGACCAAAAAAAAAAAAAAAAGGGGAAAAAGGTGATAAAGGTAGTCCTTGACTTACAACAGTTTGCTTAGTGACTGTTCGAAGTTACAATAGCCCTGAAAAAAGTGCCCCCCCAAGGCACAGCCGAGCAAGACACCTGCCTGCGGCTCTCTTCCTCCTGTCTGAGGTTTCCATTGTTGTGAGCATTTCTGTTGAGGATTGGCAGCGGGGGTGGGGTGGGGGGTGTTTGGTTTTTATTCCCCCCCCCCGTCTGCTGGGTGGTTGCAGCAGGTTTTGGTCACTTCACATGACCCTGGGACACTGTGACCGTCATAAATATGAATCAGTTGCCAAGCATCTGAATGTAAATCGCAAGACCCTGGAGATGCTGCAACATTCCAGCTGATCGGCGCTTCTTCTGGGCTCAGCAGAAGCGCCAGGATCAGCGCCGAGCTCCAGCTGGAGCCTGGCACTGATCCTGGCGCTTCCGCTGAGCCCTGACAGCCCCGAAGAAGCGCCGATCCTGGTGCTTCCGCTGAGTCCTGACAGCCCTGCAGCTCCAGCCATCTCTCGCTCAGGCTTGTGCGGTGCTGCCACTGGTTCAGCTCATTCCCCTCCCCCGCTACCACTTTTCTAGGATGGTCACGTACCACCTGCCAGGTGCCAATGTACCACAGGTGGTACCCGTACCACTGGTTGAAAAGCCCTGCTCTAAGCCTCTTTGGAAATGGGCTGCACAAAGGAGCCCAACAACTGAAAGTCCATGCCAGCATCTTTGCTCTCACTTAATGGGGTCGCCAAGCCCACTCAAAGCACAGCCTAAAGATGTTAAGGCAGAAAAGGGCAACCTTGTTTGTAGCCAGAGACTGCAGGTGTGTATGAAAATGACATAGGTGAAAGAGGCAGGGCTAGATTTTCCATATCCTTTTTTTTTTTGCATTTGGCTTTCTGGTGCTTTTTTTGACTAAAGTAGAAATGTTAGGCCTTTTTTTACTGCTTAGTTTTGTAAAAAAAAAAAGAGAATAAAAAAAGAAACACCAAATAAATAAAACCACCTTCTCATAATTTGAAAGTTTGTCTCCAAAATTCAGCAGTATAATCACGGGGAACTCAGTGGGCTGTAAAAAACAGTGACTGAGAAGCGGTTGTTAAGAATATCTTAATAGTTCTCAATTTGTAATCAATGGCCACAACTCCAACTATGAGTTCACAAAAAGACACTCTGCCTTATTGGCTGCTCCCTTTTTCTGTTAACCAGGTCTCCTTAGGATAAAGGTCATTGGCATGTGCAAAGGGCAGGGATTTCTCTCAGTTGTAATGAGTGTTGGAGAAAATAAGTGAACAGCAGGGGGAAAAAAAAACTCCTCTCCCAACCTAGCTACATGCATCTCTGCATTTTAGGAAATGCAAAAGCATCATCTGTTAATAATGATGTAAAAGTATGGGGAAGAAATCACCATGTTTTGTTTTTTTTACTGCAGGGGATAATACTTCATCTGAAGTTGCAATTGTTGTTGGGAGGGAGGGGAGAGGGGGTAGAACCTCCCACAGGAAATGGAATGCTTCCACCTAAGGGAGATGATGCTTTAAAGAAGAAGGGTTTTTTTCCTTAAGATCACTTCACTTCTCTGCACTCTTTGAGATCAAAACACTCAACACTGCTGCCAATGCTTCCCCCCCAAATATGTAGATTAAATGCAAAGATGAATGTAACATCATATTTAATTTGGATCCAAAATAGCAAGGGAAAGGAAGGAAAGGATGCCATGAATCACCTTTCAGCGGCATAGTACATTAATTATTTACCCAGTTCACCTGGATTTTCTTCCCGTGGCAAATTGGAACCAATATTTCTGCCTATCTCCTCCTCCTCTAGATAAGGAAATGCTTTTCAGAGGTTCTGCTGCACGTTCTATAAGGAGGGACTAACCTTTGCCTCCATGGCAGGGACAGGCGGTGGGGTATCAGAAAGCCACAGGTCCACGTCTTGAGGCTGGAACAACCATCCAAAAAGTATTATAGACAATTGTTATGGGACAATTTCAAGCACTCAAAGCGCATGTTCTTCTATAAGGCTCACAAACTGCACTAGGCATAACGTCGTTTGCTTTGTTTGAGCACGGCAAGAGATGTGAACTCGGCCACTGTGATCTGGAATAAGCATTGTGTTTGGAATAAACATTACGTGCCCCCGGACTGTATTCCTTAAAGCTATTCTTAATGTTACAGGTGCAACAGTTGCCACTATCTGCCAGTTTATGTTTATCTACTGCAGTGGTTCTCAACCTGTGGGTCGGGACCCCATTTGGGGTCGATCGACCATTTCACGGGGGTCGCCAAGCAAGGCTGTCCGCCATTTTTTTTGTCCGCCATTTTTTCCCCTTTTCCGGCGGGTGCCTTACCTCCCTTGGGCTGGGCCAGCTGGTGGTCGGCCTGCTCTGTCTCTGCCACTTGCCAGCTATGCCTCGGCCGGCCCAGGGGGCGGAACCACGCATGCACGGCGCTCCCAGGCAGGGAAAATCCTCGACTTACGACCGGTTGGGTAGTCCTCGACATACGACCGGTTTAGTCCTCGACTTACGACTGGTTTAGTCCTCGACGTACGACCGGTTGGGGTCGCAGCATTAAAAAGGTTGAGAACCACTGATCTACTGGGTTATATGCATTTGAACTTCAAGGTATAGTAATTTATTTTATTTACATAAACTTATATGCCGCCCTTCTCCCTATAGGACTCAGGGCGGCTCACAGCATATTAAAACACACAAACGCCATTCCCCATAAAACCAATTAAGAACCAAATATTTGTCGCTGTATTAGTTATTAAGATTCGAATTAAAATTATCCCTATTTAAAATTTCTCCCTAGGCCAGACCCGCTTGTTGAAAAAGCCATGTCTTGAGGGCGCGGCGAAAAGATAGGAGGTCCGGAATCGTCCGGATCTCGGGGGGTAGTTCGTTCCAGAGGGTGGGGGCACCCACAGAGAAGGCCCTCCCCCTGGGGGTCGCCAGCCGAC